ACCAAGCATAGGACCTTCATAAAAATGAAATACTTTGGAGTTCATTTAAATTGGGTGTTGAAAACTTGTGTTTGCAGATATGTGAGGATCTCTAGGCTGGGCTGTGGTGTGAAATGAGGAAGCTTTAGAGGAACAAGAGTGGGAAGGAGACTCCATTTTCAAAAGCATGTGTGTTGTCACCACTGATACTCCGGGAGAAGCGCCCACCAGGGTCAAGGATATTGCTTCAGGAGATGGAGTTGATGCATTCTTATTGATATTGTCTATGTTGCTTATATTTTTCTTTGTACTAAAAAATACCCAATTGTATTATTTTTGTTTGACAAGAGGGTAAGGATTGGTGCTACCAAAAATGAAAACTTGCAGTGTATTGAAAACCAAGGATTTGAAAAGAACTTAGTCCAACAGATGTTTCTGCAAACCACAGGGTGGGTGAGGTTGGGTTCAGAAATCAAGCTGTGAGCTGCCTGTGTTCCTGCCCTGAAGGAAGACAGACCAGGCCTTCTCACAAGACCCATGTTTGAATGACTATTGGTAGAGGAGTTTTTTCCTATTAAATATGAGGTTCATGGTATTTTGCTATACAGTCATCTAATTGTGATGTCTTAGGTCCAAATGGGTTTCTGTGAAATTATCTCTGATCAGTAAATAAATAGAAAAAAAGTCAGTAATACACCCTAAGGTCATGGCAAATCAGAATGTCCTAGGGAGTTTCCATGTTACACCAAGAGGGAGCTGGAGGAAAACACTCTTCCTCCATCCCCTGCCTTGAGGATTACTGATGGAGAGAGGCCTCCTTTCTGACCCTCCAGGGCATCGTATTCTTCAGGTAGTTAGAATGGAAGAAAGGCTGAGCCCCACCATCTGGTACCAGGGGACGGTCCCAGTGAGACCCAGCCTGGTATAGCTAGCATGTGGATTTAGGCGTGCCTGGGACGTGCAGTTGGGGGACATGGCTTGTCTCCTCATGTCTTCCACATCGTATGTGCATGTATCTGCTGATTTACCTGATAGCTGAGGCCTGTCCAGTGCAGAGAAGTGGTATCGTGCCCATCACTGGAATCATACTCTGTGGGCACATGCCCATGCTTAGGAAGTGGGGGGGGGGGGGCAATAGGAGGCACACTGCCAGCAGGGCATCTGGGGTTTCAGAAGTGATGTGATCCGAGAGAAGCAGAAGAGCCACCCCACAAGTGGCCAACAGCACTGAGGTTCGGATGTGACTGCGTGGGGGTAGCTGCCCCTGAGCCCTCCGTGACTTTTTCAGCCTCAGGATGAAAGGACAGGAAGTGGCCCAGTGAAACCCTCAGGGACCCAGCAACTCCGCGGGGAGGCCCCCCTGACCTGAGCAGGAAGACACAGAGGGGCTGCTTCCCTACCAGCCCTGCAGAAGTGAGCCCAGGCCGCTCGGAAGAGCACGTCTTGGGCAGCAGCCTGGGGGCTCAGTAACCGTCCCTGGGCTGTGCTGAGCTCAGCGTGCCTTCAGGAATGGCAGCCCATGCCAAAAGCGGTACCACACCAGGAGCAGGACTGGCCTGCAGCTTCATCGAAGACCCCTCATGGGTCCCCTGAGAGGAAGGGGTGCCCAAGGCCCTGCAGGTTCACACAGACGGCGGAAGGGGGCTCTTGAACTGGAGACCCCGGGGCCTGGATAAATAAAGTAACACATGCCCACCATGCACTGGGGAGGAGGAGGCTGCTCTTTCTGTAGGGACTCACTTTCATTGATCCTTAGAACTCTTCATTTGTGCCTAGTAACTTAGATCAAAACAGAAGCATTGGGGATATTTTTTGCTTAAATTATCTGGATAGTTTCTCTAACAATCAATCTAAAGTTGAAAGAAAAGGACTTTCTTTCCATCTCCTAATTCCTACACGTTACCAACCTATGTTGACACCAGACACAATCAATTTCCCAGCAAGTAGTTGTCCAGGCTGGGTAAGACAAAGGAGATGTGCAAGCCCTAGATGTTTTCTTGTTCGTGAGATTGTCAAGGCAATTCATCAACCTGGAATGGTTTGCCATTCCAATCTCTGTCTTCTAAGCTGTTGTTTGGATTTGAATTGTACAGTCCCTGCAGTGTGCTTATACAAACACATCCCAGATCATAGTTCATCACTCTGGAATATATTTTACTGTATGTACTTGACTGGCTGCAAGCCATCCTGTCTGTGTTTATATAAAGCCAAACCACATTATCATAGATTGCTTGCACAGCTATGAAAAAATATAGAGGACCTACTAGTTGCCCCCAGCAGCCTGTGAAACCAATATAATTTAGTCTTTAGAAATTCCATCTATGCCCAACCCCATTCAAAGCAGATAAACAGTTCTTAATGGGTGGTCTGCGTTGCAGTCCCCTTTGCTAAAAACAGCCCCATTTGCCTCCCTCCATCTGATCCCAGCTCCTGGTGGAGAGGCAAGCCATGGTGATCCTGGCTGTAAAGTGCTGAGCAAGACACCCAGCTCTGAGCTCTCCTCACCAGATCCTACTTGCAGGTTTGGTCCAGGGTGGGCATCCAACCTGAGTTGGACAATCAGGGAATCATGCTGGAAGTCTGAACCTAGCTCAGTGAAAGTCCAGTTGGTCTCTCTAGAGGCTTGAACTCCAAGCTGAAAAACATTAGCAGTGTTGGCAGTGGGAGAGAAGAAGCAGATGTTCAGAGAGAGAAACAAAAGGGAGACTCCGGATGAGGGTGGAGTCACCCCAGTATCTGAGCTCAACTGCATTCCTGACCCTAGGTTTCTTGAGACACCACCAGAACTTTATAACAAATTCCCCTTCTAATAATCACAAGGAGGTGTTGGAAGCCAACGTAAAATAATAATAGTTATCACCTGAAGAGTGCTGTTTTCCAGAAAAGGAAATGAAGAATAGGTGGTTAACTGCTAGCACAAGGTCACACAATGGGCAGCCTAGCCCCTGGACCAGAGAATTAATTTTGTTGCCCTGTGGCTTCTCAAAATGGGCACAAAGGAAAAGACTTGGTCTGGCATCAGACAGATGTGGGTCTGTCTTCACTGTACCACTTCCCCAGTGCTAATTATTGACCTGTGATTTCTGGTGGAATGAAGATAGCCACAGTCATAAATAGAGTTGTTACAAGAATCAATGATATAACATGATCTGTGTTGGTCTGATAGGCATTCCGTAAAAGTTATTTTTAATCTGTTTCCCATTTTTCACTTGTAGCAAACTACAGTGACTAAAACTGATAGAATATTGTGAAGGATGGTGATAACCAACATCCTTCTATATCTTTATTGTCAAATATGATGCTGAGATCAATATCCTTTATAATGTAAGGAAACATTCTCCTACTCTTGGTTTACTATGGAATTTTTATCTTTCTTCAAGGAAATTAATGGTGGATCTTTTCAAGCAAATTTCAGCTTCTAACCCCCCCAAAAAAAGAAAGGAAAGAAAAAGTCATATGATTTTTTCTTTTGATGTTAAAATTAGTTTCAATGATGGAATGCCTAATAATAAACTGTCCTTAGTTTCCTAGAATCAAGCATCCTAAATCATTTGGCATTATTCAGGGAATGGACTGGTACTTTCTCTTGTGTTTTACTCCTGCATGGGGTAAGAGTGAACAGTGCTTTTAGATGCAGGACTGTAGCCACCAGGTTGGGGACCCGTCAGATATTGGGATATCAGGAAAGACCACCAGGGGATGCAGTACTGATGGCACAACCTGGCTTCAAGGACTGTAAGCTGTTCATCTGGTCCACGGGCCTCCCCATCCACGGTGCCCCCATCCACCTGTACTGAGGTTCTGCTCACCTCTCGACTCTCCAGAGCCAGTAATATTTGCTTGTTATTTCATGCAAAAAGGATGGAGGAGCCTGGCGGGCTACAGTCCATAAGGTTGCAAGGAGTTAGACACAACTGAGCAACTTCACTTTCATGCAAGAAGAATAGACTACTTTAAAGATGGCAATTTGACATGTTCTTTATGATTGCATTTATTACAGGATCTGATCATCTATTCATTTAAACCATTTTCATAGCAGTTACAGAGTACAAAGTCTTTTTAGTCTAAGAAGAGCCTCATGAAAGATTGTGGAGATGGGTTAGTTGGAAATTCCAACAGAGGGTCTTAGAAAAGTCACAGCTAAGACTGTGTTGAGGTGAAAATCTAGTTAGATAGGAAGAGACAGGAAAGACCCCCTTAGGTCTCTAGATATAGGTACCAGAGATGGGCAGAGCCCAGGGTGAGAGAGCCAGTGGGCTTGACCAGACAGAGGGAAGCTGATTTAGGAACAGGGCAACCTGTTCCTAATGGGACCAAGCTCTTAGGAGCTGCGGCATGTAGCTAGGCAGATTGCCAGCAAAAACTGCCAGAAAACTGTTTGCTCAAATAAGGGTTTAAATCAGTGAAGACCCTTACATCTGGAGGTGGCCAGGTGTATACAACCAGTTCCTCCCAGCAGAGACCTTGTTCTTCGTGTGTGGCCATGTAGGCTCCATGTAGGTCATGAAGCCGTGACCGCTTACCTCACTGGGATTCCGCATACTTCGCCTCTCTGACCGTGAGCATGATTGCCATGTGTGAGTCATGTTCAATTCCCCCACTTTCCAGCATAGGGTCAGGCACACATGAGACCTTCGGGTGGTATCTATGGAATGCTTGAATGGGTAAGAATGCATGGTCCAAAGAACTTTTCATATCCTTGGGTTTAGCTCTTCAGGTTCAATGCTGGCTGTTTGCCTAGGGTCCCAGAATTCCCCTTCACCAGCTCTTTTCTTCTCTTGGGTCCTTATATAGTCAGGTCTGAAAAGAGGATTCCAGTAAAATGACTATATTCAGTTACTTGAGGAGGTATGTTCCTTTAGTACATATGAAGTTCATAGCCATTGTTCATGGTAAAGAATAAAAAGAATAGATACCTCTCTTGTGTCATCACTTGGCAAGTTTTTGAAGTGGCTTAAGATGAACACTACAAAGAAATACATCAGCTAACAATACATGGTTCTGCCTTATCTGTGTTCTAGGTTCAGGTTCAGTGGTAGAATCCTAGGCCTGGCTCTGATCCATCAGTACCTTCTGGATGCTTTCTTCACAAGACCCTTCTATAAGGCGCTCCTGAGACTGTAAGTGTCCCCCCCAGCCCTGCCTGCAGGACCAAAAGCACCGACCTCCCTGACTCCTCTGGCCCTTTTGTCCCTGTTTTCCCTACTCATTCCTGTTAGGTTTATGGTGGTTTACTTTTCTGAGTGCTTAGCTATCACATAAACCTTTTAGTCCCATAAAAAGACATTTGGAGGTTTTATATAAGCATAAGAGGACATCATGTACCAGATATAAATCAGTTTATATAAATAATTATAGTAGCATTACAAGCATTGTCTGAAACTACTAAGTAGAATTGATCTGTCCTTGTGTGTAAATCAGTATGCTGTACATTCTAAACTTATACAGTGCTGTATGTCAATTATATCTCAATGAAGGTGGAATAAGATAAAAGAAAAAATTGATGTATAACTTGATTGTTTTTAAATGATACTCTTCTCCAATGGCCATGGAGAGTCCCTGAGTCAATAATTGTTTTGTATTTGTTATTTTAAACATTTTAATACTTTCTTTTCCAATTACTGAATGAACTAAAGGTTCATCGATGTATTCAAAACTATCAAATCACTAACATACACCTGTGTTGCTTTAGCCAAGAGTGGTATAACCATATTTTGGCATGAGGTCTGAGCAGGTGTTTACTGAAACTATCTGTTTGCCTTTCTCCCTTTGAATGCACCCAGGCCCTGTGATTTGAGTGACCTGGAATATCTAGATGAGGAATTCCACCAGAGCTTGCAATGGATGAAGGACAACAATATCACAGACATCCTCGACCTCACGTTCACGGTTAATGAAGAGGTTTTTGGCCAGGTTTGTGAGATGCGGGGCTTGGAAAAGACATTTTGAGTCTTATTGTGGAAAAATTGCATGATATGAAATTTACCAACCTAACCAGGTTTACAGTTCATTCAGTGTTGTTAAGTAGATTCGTGTGTTATACAACCCATCTCCAGAATGTCTTCATTTTGCAAAACTGGAACCACGTCCATTAAACAATAGCTCCCTATTTTCCCCTCTCCCCAGTCCCTGGAACCATCCCACATTTTCTTTCCAAGAACTTGTCTACTCTAAGTATCTCATATTCAGTGGAATCATAGTGTTTGTCTTTTTGTGATTGGCTTATTTCACTTGGCATAGTATCTTCAAGGTTATCCATGTTTTAGCATGTGACAGGATTGCCTTCTTTTCTAGGGCTGAATAATATTCCATAGCATGTAAATACCATATTTTGTTTAGCCATTCATCAGTTGATGGACACCTAGGTTGCCTCCTCCTTTTGAGTGTTGTGGATAATGCAGGTATGAATATAGGTGTGCAAATCTCTGTTCAAGTCCCTGAGAAACCTGTATGCAGGTCAGGAAGCAACAGTTAGAACTGAACATGGAACAACAGACTGGCTCCAAATAGGAAAAGGAGTACGTCAAGGCTGTATATTGTCACCCTGCTTATTTAACTTATATGCAGAGTACATCATGAGAAATGCTGGGTTGGAGGAAGCACAAACTGGAATCAAGATTCCAGGGAGAAATATCAATAACCTCAGATATGCAGATGACACCACCCTTGTGGCAGAAAGCGAAGAAGAACTAAAGAGCCTCTTGATGAAAGTGAAAGAGGAGAGTGAAAAAGTTGGCTTAAAACTCAACATTCAGAAAACTAAGATCATGGCATCCAGTCCCATCACTTCATGGCAAATAGATGGGGAAACAGTAGAAACAGTGGCTGACTTTATTTTTGGGGGCTCCAAAATCACTGCAGATGGTGACTGCAGCCATGAAATTAAAAGATGCTTACTCCTTGGAAGGAAAGTTAATACCAACCTAGACAGCATATTAAAAAGCAGGGACATTACTTTGTCAGCAAAGGTCCGTCTAGTCAAGGCTATGGTTTTTCCAGTGGTCATGTATGGATGTGAGAGTTGGACTAGAAAGAAAGCTGAGTGGAGAAGAATTGATGCTTTTGAACTGTGGTGTTGGAGAAGACTCTTGAGAGTCCCTTGGATTGCAAGGAGATCCAACCAGTCCATCCTAAAGGCTATCAGTCCTGGATGTTCATTGGAAGGACTGATGTTGAAGCTGAAACTCCAATACTTTGGCCACCTGATGCGAAGAGCTGACTCATTTGAAAAGATCCTGATGCTGGGAAAGATTGAGGGCAGGAGGAGAAGGGGATGACAGAGGAAGAGATGGTTGGATGGCATCACCAACTCAATGGACATGGGTTTGGGTGAACTGCAGGAGTTGGTGATGGACAGGGAGGCCTGGCATGCTGCGGTTCATGGGGTCACAAAGAGTTGGACACAACTGAGTGATTGAACTGAACTGAACTCAGAAGTGGGATTGTTGGATCATATAGTAATGGGATTTTGTATTTAAAAGCAAGGACTGTCATTCATTCAAAATACAATTCTTTGAGGACTACTGTCTTGAGAAGAATGGAAACCCACACCAGTACTCTTGCCTGGAAAATCTCATGGACGGAGGAGCCTGGTAGGCTGCAGTCCATGGGGTCACTAAGAGTCGGACATGACTGAGCGTCTTCACTTTCACTTTTCACTTTCATGCATTGGAGAAAGAAATGGCAGCCCACTCCAGTGTTCTTGCCTGGAGAATCCCAGGGATGGGGGGGGCCTCATGGGCTGCCATCTATGGGGTCGCACAGAGTCTGACATGGCTGAAGTGACTTAACAGCAGCAGCAGCCTTTGTTAAAGTTACTCATGGGCCCTCACCGGGGACCCTCCAGCGGGCCCAGGGGGACAAAAGTGGCTCTAAATCCAGCACGTGCATACTGAGGCAAGTTAATGGATTTAATATGAAGCACAGAAGCAGATAATGCCAAAGAGCAAGCAGTAATTGGTACACATTTAGTGAGTGGGGCGGCCTTTCCTTCTCCCACTTCTGCTGAGATGGTGGAAATTAGTCGAATTCAGTATGAAATGGAATACACCGAAGGTATTAGTCAGCGAATGAGGGTCCCGGAAAAATTAAAGGTAGCACCACCACATGCTGACCTGGAACAAGGATTTCAACAAGGAGTTTCAAATGCTAGTGTGATTATGCAAGTTCCAGAGAGAATTGTGGTAGCAGGAAATAATGAAGACATTCCATTTTCAAGACCAGCAGATCTTGACCTTATACAGTCAACTCCCTTTAAGCCCCTGGCTCTAAAAACACCACCTCATGTGCTTACACTGAGTGAAAGGCCGCTAGATTTTCTGGATTTAGAAAGACCTGCTCCAACCCCTTAAAACGAAGAAATCCGTGCAGTTGGCAGGCTAAAAAGAGAAACTATGAGTGAAAATGCTGTTCGCCAAAATGGACAGGTGGTCAAAACTGACTCCATACCTGTGTTGCGTGGTGGGTCTCCTGCCCCCACTTCTAATCCTCATCATGACAATGTCAGGTATGTCATTTCAAATATAGATGCAATGACTGAAGGAACTTCAGAAGACATGACAGTTGTAGATGCAGCTTCATTAAGACGACAGATAATCAAACTAAATAGACATCTACAACTTCTGGAAGAGAACAAAGAACGGGCTAAAAGAGAAATGGTCATGTATTCAATTACTGTAGCATTCTGGCTGCTTAATAGCTGGCTCTGGTTTCACCGCTAGAGGTAACCTCAGCTTTTAGAAATATTGTCTCAACATCTGGAAATAAAAAGAATTGCAAACTTAAAAAAAAATTAATGAAATAAAGTTACTCATGTCTTCTTTTTCTTGTTTTGACATGGATCTAGTTTAGAGTGTTTTTTGAAAATCAAATGTGACAGTGGATCAGAAAGCATTTTTGTAAAGTGTGCAATATATCTGTAAGATATTTCTCTTATTTGTGCAACTACAATACTTTTTATCACTAGCATCCAGGTATTTACTCCTCCAAAATGTATGTATCACAACATTATTTAATAAAAGAAGCTTCCCATTTTTTTTCTTCCAGTGTTTATATAACATTGAATCATCTGGCTTATAGTTTTTTCAGACCAGCCTGATAACCTGAGCAGATTTAACAATTAAGGTTTTTTGAACATCATTTACAAGAGATTCAAAAGCCTATGACATGTGTAATTTTTGTAATGGAATATTATAAGAATTAAGCTGGGATACTTTATAAGTACCTTTATGACTGTGGGCAGTGTGCTGAATCTATGGGTGATAGTTACCCACTGAACCTTGCAGACCACCCAACACCTGCATCTCAATCAAGAATCTTGTTCAGGTCCTGGAAAATGTTAGTGTTCTGATGCATTGTCTTGCATAAAAATACTTCTGAAGAATACTCTTTTCCACATTTGAGAAAAAACTATTTTTTCTTACATCTTTAGAGAGGGCATTTAAATATATTCAAGAAGATCTGATTCACTTAACTGCCCTCCCCCATGTACTAGATGAATGTGTAAGATACACTATTTTTTCTGCATGAGTACTTTTAGCCCATCCTTTACATTTGCCCTAGAGTAGGGTTAATTTGTAAAACAAACAAACAAACAAACAAAAAAACACAATTATTTAACAAAATAGATTAAGATAAATGGGTACCCATCTTAAAAAACTTAAGTTAGATCCCAAACCTAACTCATTATGCTTAAATTAATTCCACTTGGGTGAAAAAGCTGAGGGCTTAAAAGAACAATAAAAGGATGAAAATGAAAGAATTTTTCTTTTTAAGTTACAGTAAGAAATGCTGTTGTAGATGTGACAAAGTCATGAAATAAAAGATAGACATAGTCAACTAAAATTACTTTTTTAATACCTCATGTCAAAACTACACCATAAACAAAGTAAAAATTACATAATATTTGCTACATTATAACATATAGCACAGACAAAAGTCTTTGTCTTTCAATACAGGAAGAGATCCTGCAGATCAATAAGAAATGATCAACAACACAGTGGAAAATTAGCAAAGAATATAAATGGGTAGTTCCCGGGAAAGGAAATATTCAACATCATTCACAATTTTTTTTAAATATAAATTAAAATAGAATGAAATACCATTTTCCGTCATGAGAACATCAAGAATCAGAAAGCTTAGCAGTATTCTATTTTGGAGATGGTGGAGAGAAACAGGCACTCTGAACAAGAGTGTAGGTGGAAGGAAGCAGAAGTTTGTTTCACTGTCTATGAAAGGCATCCTGTGATACCTATCCTCATTCTAAATGCACCTGCCTTTGACTCAGCATCTCCGTCTAGAAATTTGACCTACAGATAGGTTCACATCTAATTGAAATGACTCATGGATAGCAATCTTCACTGCAGCATTGTTGATCACCACAAAAAATCTGAAACAATCTAAATGTTCAGCAGTAGAACACTGATGAAATAAATTATAATTCATTCATACAATGAGATAGTAGAATAGTAAGATATGTGTTCTGATACCCCAGCCCATCCATTTACATATAAACCATAAACAATAAGACAGGTAGTATAACAATAACAAAAAAAGAATAAGGTCTAAACTGGTATAATCCTGAAGGAAATCAACCCTGAGTATTCATTGGAAAGACTGAAGCTGAAGCTGAAGCTCCAATACTTTGGCCACCTGATGTGAAGAGCCGACCCATTGGAAAAAACTCTGATGCTGGTAAAAGAGAAGGGGGCAGCAGAGGATGAGATGGTTAGATAGCATCACTGACTCAATGGACATGAATCTGAGCAAACTCCAGGAGATGGTGGAGGACAGAGGAGCCTGGCGTGCTACAGTCCACGGAGTTGCAAAAAGTCAGACACAACTTAGCGACTGAATAACAACAAACCAGGATAAAACAATGGCCAAAGTGTATCTTTAACTAAAAAAAAAAAAAAAACCTTTGGTGTGTATGTGACCATGATGATGAACAGTGTGTATAATATGCTACTGTTTCGGGAAAGAAACTTGTTTTTCACTGTATGGCTTTTTACAGCACTTGAATTTTTTTTTCCATGGACACATGCTATCTACTCAAAAGAAATCAAGTAAATTACAAATGACTAAATACATTAAAATTAGAGGAAAAAATAACATTGAAAATAAAAAGAGCAATCCTTCATGTGTGTATAAGGTAGGAGCTGAACAACTCAGAGAAAGTTGTAAACATTCCCAGTGATAAAAATAAGGATGTGTTATAGATCTAGAATAATGTATTTCTGTTTAAGCTTAAACTGATCCTGTTTCTTTTCAAATGAGGTCACCAAGAGTGATGATTTTGGTTTTAGAAAACTGAGTCACAGCCCTTCTGTTGGCAAGTTACAGAGTGAAGAGCAGACAGATGGATGTAGCTGGAAGACACCACAGGCTTTTCCTCGGTGTGTTAGTTAAGAATAAGTTCAACTGTTAATGAAGAAAGCCAATGACCATGCTTAAATTAACAGTTTATTTTTCTCTTACATAAAAATGTGGAGGCAGGCAACCCAAGGCTGCAATCCCTACGATGGCCCCCTGCACCCACAACCTTGATGTGTATGGTGCCCCAACCAGCACATCCATGTCTGAAGTAGCAGGACAAAGGAGAAATAGCCCTGCTCTTTAAAGAGCCCTCATGAAAGTGCCATACAACACCCTCACTTGTACGTTATTGGCCAGAATTTAGTTACATCACATACTTAGAGTCAGGAAATAGTCTCTAACTGGGCAGGTAAAAAACAGAGGCTCCAAAAAATATGGATCTTGGGTGGTAATTATTATGCTATAATTGACCAATATTTCATATTTACCAAAGTCACCCAAGTGATCAAAGAAAGTAATCAGTAGACTTCTATAAACTATTTTGTTTGGGTACTTTGCCCATGAGTATCAAATATATACACGCATTTTTAATCAATAACTAAGTACATCTATGGGCTTCCCTAGCGGCTCAGTGGTAAAGAATTTGCTTGTCAATGAAGGAGACACAGGCTTGATACCTGGGTCAGGAATATCCCCTGGAGAAGGAAATAGCAACCCACTCCAGTATTTTTGCCTGGAGAATCTCATGGACAGAGGAGCCTGGAGGGCTACAGTCCACGGGGTTGCAAAAGAGTTGGACATGACTTAGCAACAAAACAATAACAGGTATAGTTATGCCTCACTTTTCTTATGTTAATCACACTGAGCACTGAGGCGAACCCCTTAAGCAAATTTAAGATAACTGATGCTTCCCCCTTCAAACACCAACACTTTTTGATCACAGTGTCTAATATGTTACCTGCCTTCTTGCCTTTCAAAACAGTAAAGCACAGATCATAACTTTTCTTGTTAGCTTGTCCTAACAATCATGCATTTCCATACTATGTGGCAACATCATTCTCTCCTTTCTCAAGGTCGAGGTGTTACCCTTCAACCACTGTTATACCTACTGCAAAACCACTCTCCCACCCTCCATTTCTTTTTTGCCAATGATCTGCTGTTGGTGGGGAAGATTTGTTTGTTAAGAATGTTATGTAATTAGGACTTGGGTATAGTTAAGGATATTCTAGTCCATTTAGGGGTAACCAGGGGCATTTTTCTTTTATTTCCGTTATGCCTCTTAAGTTTAAGAAACATGCTTCCTCTTCATGTAACAAAAATGCAGCTTTTCTAAGGTACTGATGTATCTACTTAGAACAACCAGAGCCTTTCTAGTAACTTCCAGGAAAGGAGAAAGAACCAAGAAGGTAATGATGCTGAACTCGTGTAAAGAGAACTCTTTACAAATAGTTCATCCTCTTAAAACTGATCTGTTTCACTGGAAGGTAAGGCAAGTCAACAATCATCATGATCTTTGTTTCCCCACAAGGTAACGGAGAGGGAGTTAAAGTCTGGAGGCGCCAACACGCAGGTCACCGAGAAAAACAAGAAGGAGTACATCGAGAGGATGGTGAGGTGGCGGGTGGAGCGCGGCGTGGTGCCGCAGACCGAGGCGCTGGTCCGGGGCTTCTGCGAGGTGAGACGCGGCCCAGCAGGCAGCTTGTTAGGAGAAGGGAGAGGAAGAAAGAGGCAGGAAGAGGGCTCAGCTCTACCCACCAGCATGCAGGGAGGACCCCCGAGGGTACTGGAAGAGGGGTCAGAGTTCTCTGGGAAACCCAGCTCTTGTGGTCTCACAAAACCAGCATCAGCGTGGCCCTGCTGAGCCATACATGAAAACACGTGGCCCGTCCTGCCAAGACGCATGTGTATTGCATCCTCTTTTATTCAGTGAGATAAAAATGAATGAAGTGAAGGCACTGGAGGGAATTATCCACTCTGGCTACATTTTTTATTTTCTTACAGGCAGATCTCTGAGATGTTGCAGGTTTAGTTCCAGACCTCAGCAATAAAGCCATTATCACAGTAAAGCAGTCACATCAGTTGTTTAGATTCTTAGTGCAAAGTAGTTATGCTTATACTAGCCTGTAGTCTACCAAGTGTGCCACAGTATTATGTCTAAAAAAACAGTGTACATACCTTATTTTTAAAATACTTTATTACTAAAAAAAAACTACCCATCATCTCATGACCTCGGGTTGCTGCAAAACACCAATTTGTGAAAAATTCGATATCTGCAGAGTGTGATAAAGCAGAACACAATCAAAGGAGATATGCCTGTGGTGTCACTTTGTACCACATAATCCATGCAGAGGTGCTAAATCAGGACAGCAACTTATGAAATAAGGGGCATGAAGTCACATGTGAAAGTTTTGAAAATTATAAAGTACTGTAGAATTTAAATAATCTGTCATTCAATAAAAAAGTTTTTAAAAAAGCATCAGAGATCAATAATAATTTTTTTAAAAAGAGGACACTGACAGGTGCTAGGCTTCCTGTTTACCAAACTTGACAGTTAAATTTTTCCAGTTTAGAAACGAGGGCTTGGGTGTTTGAAGGTGTTCTTTGCTGCTCTGCTGGAGACCGGAGTGGGTGACTGGCTGGTCCACCGGTGTGATTACAGGCGGTGTCTGCTGCAGGTGTTCAAGGGTACCGCATACATTCAGCAACAAGATGTAAAGCCAGAGCTCAGAACCCTCTAATCAAGCAGGTCCTCCCAGATCTTTGAAGGAGGGAGGGAAGAAGTGAGGGGAAGAAGGGAAGAAAAAGACAATTGTTTTAATATATAAAGTCCATTCCCAGGAAACAAGTCCTAGTTTGTATGTGGAAAAAAGGATTCCTTTTAAGTGAAGTGATAGCACTAATAGCTACTGAATCACTTCAAAGCAAATTGGACTTTTTCCCTTTAAAATGTAGTGTTACTGGGAAACTTAAATGTGACTGCAGAAAGTCAAGTCAATCTGGTTCATAACATCATTCCAAGAGGGAATATCAGAGGTAACGAAAAGCAGGGGACCTTTTTTGAGTTCCCAGTTCATTAAAGCGTTGTGCTTCAAAATGTCATGATTTTTAACTTAAACATGATAACACATTGGGAGGGGGGAAAAGGTTGTGAACAGTGGTCAGCGTCCCAGCTTAGCCCACAGAAGTGGTAATGATGAATGTAACTTCTCGATAACACTGGGTCTGTAGGCTAAAGCTTAATTTGGATTTCAGGTGGTGGACTCAAGGCTGGTCTCCGTGTTCGATGCCAGGGAGCTGGAGCTGGTGATCGCTGGCACCGCAGAGATTGACCTGGCCGACTGGCGGAACAACGCCGAGTACCGGGGAGGTGAGCGAGCGGGACTTGTGATGGCTCAGCTCCCACAGACACAATCCATCACTTCTTAAAAAACATGATTGATTTGAAATTGACATAAGAAAATTAACCATTTCTTTTCTATGTTACATTTTATTGTTTTTTTTTAATTTTTATTGAAATATAGTTTATCTACAATATTCTGTTAGTTTCAGGTATGCAGCAAAGTTTTTCAGTCATATGTATATAAATTATATATTTTCACATCCTCCTCCAATACAGGTTATTATAAGATATTGAGTAGATGGTTAAAAATGACCATTTTAAATCCACAAACAATAAATGCTGGAGAGGGTATGGAGACAAGGGAACCCTCCTACACTATTGGTGGGAATTCAACTTGGAGAACAGTATGGAGATGCCCTAAAAGAGCTAAAAATAGAGTTACCATATGATCCTGCAATTCTACTCCTGGGCATATACCCAGAGAAAAACATGGTCCAAAAAGATACAAGCACCTCAGTGTTCATTGTAGCACTGCTTACAATAGCCAAGACATGGAACCAACCTAGACGTCCATCAACAGTGAAATGGATAAAGAAGATGTGTTACATAGAGACAATGGAATATTACTCAGCCATTAAAAAGAATGAAATAATGCCATTTGCAGCAACATGGATAGACCTAGAGATTGTCATGCTGAGTGAAGTAAGTTAGACAGAGAAGGAGAAATATCACATAACATCCCTTATATGCGGAACCTAAGAAGAAATACAAATGAACTTATTTACAAAAAAGAAACAGACTCACAGAGGACGAATTTATGGTTGTCAGGGGGGAAGAATGGGGAGAAGAGATGGTGAGAATGTTTGGGATCAATATGTACACTCTGCTATATTTCAAATGGGTAACCAACAAGGACCTACTATACAGCACAGGAAACTCTGCTCAGTTATGTGGCAGCCTGGATGGGAAGGGAGTCTGAGGGAGAATGTATACATGTATATGTATGGCTGAGTCCCTTACTTATCCACCTGAAACTATCACAGTGTTGTTAATCGGCTACCCCCCAATATAAAGTAAAAAGTTTTTTTTAAAAAAATAGCCATTTTAAAGGGAACAGCGCAGCAGCATTTAGGGCATTGTAGATGTGGTACAACCATCCCCTCTCACTAGTTCCAAAACATTTTCTTTGTCCCCAAGGGAACCCAGGACCTGTGAAGCAGTTGCTCGCCATTCCTCTCCCCACTCCCCATCCCCAGCAGCCATCAGTCTATGCGGATGTACCCATGCTGGATATTTCATATAAATAGAATTATACTGTTTGGCCTTTGGGGTCTGGCTTCTTTCACTTAGTAAGGTTTGTTTGTGTTATAGTATGACTGAGTGTTTCATTCCTTTTTATGGATGAATAATCTTCATATATATACATATATATATATATATATATATATGTATATATATATATTCTGTATGTTCAGTTCAGTCCCTTAGTCACATCCAACTCTTTGTGAACCCATGGACCACAGCACCCCAGGTCTCCCTGTCCGTCACCAACTCCTGGAGTTAACCCAAACTCATGTGCATTGAGTCAGTGATGCCATCCAACCATCTCATCCTCGGTCGTCCCCTTTTCCTCCTGCCTTCAATCTTTCCTAGCATCAGGGTCTTTTCCAATGAGTCAGCTCTTCACATCACATGGCCAAAGTATTAGAATTTCACCTTTAACATCAGTCCTTCCAATGAACACTCAGGACTGATCTCCTTTAGGATGGACTGGTTGGATCTCCTTGCAGTCCAAGGGACTCTCTCTCAAGAGTCTTCTCCAACACCACATTTCAAAAGCATTAATTCTTCGGCACTCAGCTTTCTTTATAGTCCAACTCTCACATCCGTACATGACCACTGGAAAAACCATAGCCTTGACTAGATGGACCTTTGTTGGCAAAGTACTGTCTCTGCTTTTTAATATGCTGTCTAGGTTGGTATTAACTTTCCTTCCAAGGAGTAAGCATCTTTTAATTTCATGGCTGCAGTCACCATCTGCAGTGATTTTGGAGCCCCAAAAAATAAAGTCAGCCACTGTTTCTACTGTTTTCCCATCTATTTGCCATGAAGTGATGGGACCAGATGCCATGATCTTAGTTTTCTGAATGTTGAGTTTTAAGCCAACTTTTTCACTCTCCTCTTTCACTTTCATCAAGAGGCTCTTTAGTTCTTCTTCGCTTTCTGCCATAAGGGTGGTGTCATCTGCATATCTGAGGTTATTGATATTTCTCCTGGCAGTCTTGATTCTAGCTTGTACTTCCTCCAGCCCAGAGTTTCTCATGATGTACTCTGCATATAAGTTAAATAAGCACGGTGACAATATACAGCTTTGACATACTCCTTTTCCTATTTGGAACCAGTCTGTTATTCCATGCCCAGTTCTAACTGTTGCTTCCCTACCTGCATACAGATTTCTCAAGAGGCGGGTCAGGTGGTCTGGTAGTCCCATCTCTTTCAGAATTTTCCACAGTTTATTGTGACCCACACAGTCAAAGGCTTTGGCATAGTCAATAAAGCAGAAATAGATGTTTTTCTGGAACTCTCTTGCTTTTTTGATGATCCAGTGGATGTTGGCAATTTGATCTCTGGTTCCTCTGCCTTTTCTAAATCCAGCTTGAACATCTGGAAGTTCACGGTTCACGTATTGCTGAAGCCTGGCTTGGAGAATTTTGAGCATTACTTTACTAGCGTGTGAGATGAGTATGTAGTGACAATATAAATATAAAATAATATCACTTTTGAAGACTACAAAAAACTTGGCCTTATTTCAGTACATGTGCAGAGTAGGTTCTAGTCCATGCCTTCCCCCCCAACTCCCCACCCTCCGTTTCCAACCTGGACTTCCCTTCAGGCGGCCCCAGGTCATTTCTGGTGTAACTCAGCATAGGTGTGTACCACGGAACACCGCCAACCATGGGCCAGCTCTGGAGCTGGGTCACGTGCTGCCAGGAAAGTGTGTCCTGCCTCCTGTAGAACTGAAGCCCTCCTGGCCTCCATCCTGATTTGTTGTAACAGTTCTGTCATCTCTCCAAATCCAATGTCTAACTCCTCCTAATGCTTCACCTTCACGCTGCCAAACCAGTCTTCCTGAAACATTCTTTTCATCAAGCCCTTTACCAACCCACAAAACAAGCAAGCTCCTTATCCCTTAGAGAAGAGGTCTTTGAAAGATTTTTTACGCTCAAAACCCTTTCCTCACATAAAATATTGCAGAGACGAAATGATAGAGGGTGAGCCAGGAGCCCACCATCTCAGCCCCTCTTGTCTCCCCGATACACTCAGCCATGTAGGAGGAAACCTCTGTGGAACCGCTAGGCCCTTCCTAGCTTGGCAGAAAAGCCGCCAACCTAAGGCATCAGGTCACAGTGGCTCTGCCTAGCTATCAAGGCCTCTAAGCCCCCAGTGAGGTCCCTCAGTCCTCACCAGCAGCCGCTCTCTGCTGGTCTAGTCAGTTTGCTGTTCCCTGCATATTTATTCTTCATTCTCATCACTATAGCCCCTCCTCCACTCACACAAGCCTTCACATGCTTAACTCACACCTCTGAGGTGAGTTACACCTTCCATTTGATGAAGCTGTCCTTCTTTCTGCCCCAGCCCAGCCTTCCTTCTTCATCTTTGAGTCCTTGGTGCACTTGCAGTCTATCATTTTCCTTCAGTGCTTGCTCCAAGCCTGGTTTCCGTAGTCTCCTGTGAGGCCCCATACTTCTTTGTTGGACCCAACTCCTCTCAGCCCAGGGCTGGTCAGAGCACAGAAGCTCTAAGGGCACCAAGGGCTGCGGGGAGGGCCCAGCATCTTCCGTTCACCAAGATTGACGTTCACCTTTCTTAAGTCCTAGATGCTCCCACAGTACATGGTTACCAAGAGCTAAGACATCAGAACAAAGACAATATGAGGAAATATCCTATCATAGAGGGTTTTGTCCCTTCAGAACCCCAAACATCTCTGCCAGGTCACACCAGTTGTTGTGTACATTTATCTCAGGCAGGAAAGTGACTCCTGGGGGCCCAGTTGTTTAAATAGAAAGCAGACATCTCTGCAGACATCCCTGAGAACATAAAACCTTTTTGTAAAATGCCTCTTTTCTCAATTGACTTTTGTTTTCTAACTTCACTCAGTTACACAAATTATTTCAGACCTACCTGAAGGCCACCACTAGAGAAATGAGCAGATCTAGAGCAGCTGTTGAGTTCTTAGCACATCTGATGTATATTTCATCCCCCCCCCGCCCCGCATCCTCTCCGTCTCCCTCCTGCTTCCGCTTAGGTTATCATGATGGGCATCTCGTGATCCGCTGGTTCTGGGCTGCAGTGGAGCGTTTCAACAACGAGCAGAGACTCAGATTACTGCAGTTCGTCACAGGAACATCAAGTGTGCCCTACGAAGGCTTCGCAGCCCTGCGAGGAAGCAATGGGCTTCGGCGTTTCTGCATAGAGAAATGGGGGAAAATTACATCTCTCCCCAGGTATGGAGCTCCCACCCACCTTCAGGAAACCTGCTGAAGAAGGCCAAGTATGCTGTGTTATTTGAGTTTGAGCGATCATCCGTAGGGATGGAATTCTTTCCTGCTGCCCAGTGTATTGTTCTGAGTCATTAGTGAAAGGTGTGGGGGAGAAGTCTCAGGGAAATGCATTTAGGTCATACTCTTAGTCATTTTTTGATGACTGATGGTATTGGGGTTATTGGTTTCATGGTCCATGGGTTAGTCATATGTGGCCCAATTTAATTTAAAGAGGAATGTCTTGCCTGAGGGAAGGGGGATGCCCAGAGGCTTGAAGCCCAAAGTGGCCCTTCCAGCACTGAGACTGCACTTCTGTTGTTACTGACCAAAGTTCTTGGACTCTTTAATCTATACAAATTATAGAAAGAGACTAGAAATCTATAGAAAGAGACTAGATGAGAAATTCAGGCAGAGGCTCCTGCTGTAGCATGAAGTGAGAACAAGTAACAGGTCCCTTTGCTCACTCCACCAGAGGGAGTGAGCTGGTCCCTTAAATGGCATTGGGGGTGGGGGCTGATGGGTGGGGTCAGGCTGGAGCAATGGCTTAGGTGGTCTGCCTACCCCCTGGTAGTACTGTGTGCCGTCCCCCACTTTTGCTCTCAGCACTTCAGAAATGGCAATTGGGTTTTGGCCTTTTTGTAGCTTATTGTTCATATTTACCCCCCAGCTGTGCATATTGCAGTTATTTTTAGTTTCTTTGTGTTCTGTTGCTCGAGGAGATGTTCGTCCAGGTGCAAGTATTGACGTAAATGGTCCCAGCCTGTCTCACTAGGGCATATCACTTGATACACGGGGAGTTGTGTACATATTGTGTTTTTCCACTATGTTTTAAAACATGTGCAGACAAAACCACATGTATCTTGGGTCTCTACAGTGGCTTCTATACAGTAAGCTATCAAAGAAATTATTGTGCGATAATGCAGAGAAGGAGGCATTAGAGCTCCAGGCAGTTTAACAACATCGTTTCCCTGCGCTATGGGTTTTCATCCCAACACTTCCTCCATGCTTTCTGTGCCACTTTGGATGGCATATTTTCCTGCTCAGTAAAATAAGGAGCACTAAAGAGAGGCTTCTGTGTAGCTACTAAAGTCATAAATCCCGCTCAGCAAATAAAAGAAAAGATCGATCCACATTACTCTCTTCTACTATATTTTTTAATTGTAAGAGAAGATTCATATTTAATTCAGCTCTGTTTCTCCTTGGCTTCTGAGATGCTTTGCTAATCCCTTTTGTGGCAGGATTTATTGAACTATAATTTTTATCTAGCTTTCCTAGACTTTATAGCATCCTGGAGATAATTTATGATGAGCATAGGAGGCCCAGGAAACAGGGCACATGCCCAGCTGGTTAATAACAACCTGAAGCCTTGGGGTGCTTTTCAGCCCTGTCTTCACCCAGTTAGATCAGCAGACCCTCAGTGCTCATTTGCATGGTTCTGCTGACAGCTAAGCCTCCTAAATGAAGTCTGGCAAGAAAATCAGGCTCAGAAGGCAAGATTTCCATTTGTTGAGTTTAATGATAGGTTTGAAGTATGAGGTTCTTTGGAAGCATTTAGCTTTTACTTTAAAGACGTGAGTTTGAGTCACATCTGGTGATATCTACTCCCAGAGTGAGCACCTCGGTGTGCAGGTGGATGGGGATAAGGGAGCTACACAATGCACCTGCCCAGAGGGGCTGAGTCTAGGGAGGAACAGAACCAGATGGTGAGCAGTTACAACCCCAGTTGGAATCAGAGGCGAGCAAAGAAGAGACAGTAAAAGCAGGGATGCTAGAGGTTGTAGGACGGAGACTTAATCCTGACTGAATTGACAGGAGATGTCACAGAGAAGCTGGCATTCAGATGTGCCATGAGAGGCAAGGAAGGGCAGAGGGGATTCCAGGCTGGAGCAACAGCAAGAGCAAGGCCTGGAGGTGGGAAGGTCAGCTGTGTTCAGGAAGGAGCGCCAAGCAGGCATGGAAGGCAAGGTGTCTAGCATGACATTTGCAGGGGACATGGTTGAGAGAGCGTTTGGTGGGCCACAGAGAGAAGACCCCATTGAGGAGTCTGTACTATTATTTAGGAAACAGAAGTCATTGCTTTTGTCACTGAGGTCAGAAATTGAGTTTAATTACATATGCTATGCTCAGGGAAGCTTTGAAATTTGTATTAATCCTATCAACCCACACAGAGAACTAATAGAGTGGGCATCAGCTTATGAAAAGGAAATGGCAGCCCACTCTAGTACTCTTGCCTGGAAAATCCAAAGGACAGAGGAGCCTGACAGGCTACAGTCTATGGGGTCTCAAAAGAGTCAGACATGACTGTGCAACAAGAACAACACTGACCTTCTGAACAGGCTCTGCACATCTGGGCTAAGGCATCCCTAAAAACGTTGCTGCGCTTCGAGCCCCAGAGAGGGTTCCTGGGGGAAACAGGGTCTTCATCCTGGGGCACAGGGGCCCTAGGAAGTGCTGAGAGGCCCCCAAGAGGACAGTGAAAATGACCCTCTGAGTATGAACCCCCAACTAGTCTCTTGTATCTTCTGAAGATTCAGGAACCTGGAAAGTGTCACCTAGGGTGGAGAGAAAGAAATAGCCTCTGAATTCCTAGAATGGTAGTTCAGAAAGACCTGGCCAGGCCATGTGGCAGGTGGCAAAAGCCCAGGCAAGCAGGAGAGCCAAGCACCCACGGGGTGATCCAGGGCTCTCCAGAGACGGTGAGCCTCATGTGTACTGCCTGCACTCTGAGAAGAGGTATTCTAGGCTGCCTTCTCCTCAGATCTTCCCTCCAGACAGGCAGCTGGCCTCCTAGATGAGGGAGCCAAATAGCGCCGCACAAAGCCGTGCATCAGTCCAAGTCCTTGCCCTCTAGAGTGTGTGGGAGTTAGAACAAAGACTCTGCGGCAGGGTTTATGGTTTTACAGAGCCTGGTGAAGAAACTTCATAAATCACCGTCACTGGAGCATAGGCGGGGTGAGATGGTCACTGGGGCTAAGGGCAAGGAGCTGGCAGGCCAGGGCTCTGAAAGGTCAGCCATGTGGACTCAGAAACTACACAGGATGGTGGGAAGATATGAAGTGGAAAACATTTAAGCCAGTTACCAGAAATGTTAACAAATGTGTTCCTCAGGAGGTCAGAAGGTGTGGAAGGTAGATCTAGATCACTGATGGTCAAACGTGCTTCACACAGAGAGAGGGTCCCTTTATGTCCCAACCTAGTAAAAGCAGGCATACTCCTGAGTATGTATCTGAAATACTAGTTCTTCAAAACAGTTGATGTTTAGTCGTTAAGTCATGTCTGACTCTTTTGCGAACCCTTGGACTGTAACCCATCAGGCTCCTCTGTCCATGGGGTTTTCCAGGCAAGAATACTGGAGTGGGTTGCCATTTCCTTCTCCAGGGGGTCTTCCTGACCCAGGGATCGAGCCCACGTCTCCTGCATTGGCAGGCAGATTCTTTACCACTGAGCCACTGTACCTCATCCTTATTATCTATAGGTAGTACTCTCTATTTTCTACCCTGTCCTATTTGTTAAAATAAAATGCCAAACAAAACCTGCAGTTTGAAGAAAAAATTTACCTAAATGGCATGAGATTCAGGGGAGCAGAAATTTTTGATCAAAAATTGAAAAGTAATGATCTAGAATTGGCAATGGGGAGTGAAAAAAGTATTCATCCATCCACAGCTCAGAATGCAGCCAGGTGAAAAATGGCTGTCTCCACTCATGAGGGCTGAGAACGCTAGGGCTTGTAGGCCAGACCAAGAGATGGGAGAGTGTACTCACTGTGAAACTTGGAAAGGATAAGCTTGGAAGGAAAGAAGACTTGGGAGCTGGTCAGGGTAGACACAGCACAGGCAGTTTGGAAATAGAGTAAAGGAGAGGACAAAAGCTTAGGGGGCTACATTTCAAGCATGGACAAGAAAACCAGAATTGTGAGTCAGGGGCAGGTGAACTGTACTAAAATTCTAATATGAACATGTTTCCCTGCAGGGGTAAACTGAGCCCAAGCCCAGGATGTTGGTGGAGACCTGGTTTTGGCTTACTCTATAGCGATGGTTTGCGAGGGTGAAGGCAGGAAAGGTGATTTTGTCTCCCCAGGGGACATTTAGCAATATCTGGAGACATTTTTGGTTTTGGGGTAGGGGTTCTTCTGGCCTCTATCAGGGAGAGGCCAAGGATGCTGCTAAACACCTACAGGACGCAGGACAGTCCCTCCTAGTGAAAAGTCATCAAGCTCCAAGTATCCGTGGTGCCTGAAGCCCTGCTCTCTAGGCTGACGAGCTACAAAGGAGGCGTGAGGGAGCCATTGGGAGTCCCTGTGAGAAACTGACAGCCACTGAGAAACTGTCCAGAAGTCAAGGGAGAGAGATGTTCGTAGGAAGAGCTGTCAAATGCTTTCAATGAGCTTGGGGAGGTGGGCATAGAGAATGCACCTCTGGATGGGGGAATCAAGAGGTTATTGACAAATTTGGAAAAGAGTAGATTTAGCAGTGATAGAGTAAGAACCTGCCTGGTGACTGAAGCTGTAGTTGGGAAGTGGAAGCAGATGACATGGAAAGGAGACATGGGGACTTCTCTAGGCATTCTAGTGCTTAAGACTCCACACTTCCACTGCAGGGGACATGAGTTCGATCCCTGGTCAGGAAAGTAAGGTCCCGAAAGCCAGGTGGTGTGGCCAGAAAAGGGAAAAAAAAAGCAAAAAAGACACAACTTAAATAACTGACCTCACAACTGGCTATACAGCCAGCTACATGGTAGTGATGCTGCCCCTTTTTGTTATAATATTTACTCTGAACCAACCTTAAAGTGGTCTCTACTGCAGAGAAGCAAGACTGACTTCAGCCCTATCTTGGTTCACATTTTGATAAAAAACTTGGAAAACATTGAGGAGACAGGGAGATTAATTGTGTAGATGACATGGATTAGAAGTATCACAGATAATACTGTGATGGATTACAATCCAAATCCAGCATGATCTCAAAATGCTGGAACCCCAAAATAATACCAACAGAGTGCAGTTTGACCCAGCACAACTGATCAGATCCAATGGAGTTCCAAAATGTCAGCTGCACAAATATGAGATGAGGACAATTCATTTGCCAGCAGGCAGGTGGAAAAAGCCAAGAGTCTGAAGTCCTCACAAGGGGGACATGGTTCCTAAAATCATGAGTGCAACTGTGTTTGCATTATTAAGAAACTCTGATGCTTAAATGATGATTCATGGTTTACGAAAGGCACTTGTGTGTACTCTTTTCTCACACCAACCCTCTGATGTGCACGATGCATGTATTATTACCCCATTTTACAAGTGAGAAAACTGAGGCCCACAAAAATTCATTGACTTTCCCAAGGCTGTAAAACTAGTCAGTGACTGGACTGCAATCAGAATAGAGGTCTTCCAAAGTCTGGTTCTGTGCTCCCTCCATGCCCCATCTCACCTGAGAGCACGGGGTCCAGTGCCCAGGGAATGATGTGCTCAGGTCCTTGATGCTGTCAGGACCACATAGAGGGTAATGAGGACTTAGGAATGCGGAATCCGATCATGACTGGATGATGTTTATTCATTCTAGATTACTGACTGAGATGTATCAATATCTAAGAGCTAACCAAGGCTATGGATGAATGCAGTGAGAGCAGCTCTTGTTCAGACTAGGTTTTAAAGAGGTTCCATTTGCTAAAGTTTCAGTTTATTCCAAGAAATTAACTTTTATAGAATCAATCTGATCCCAACTGTTTTGTAAATAGATGATTCTTTTTCTGTATTACTTCCACTCATGAGTGATAGTTAAAATGACCAGATAAAGAAAACCAAGAAGATGCTGTCTGCCTGTATCCTGTCCCTGGCTTTTGGAATTCAGCCAGTTTTAAAAGCACTCTTGGCATTTTTCTGTCCCTCTTAACTTAGCTGGGCTTCCCTAGTGGCTCAGTTGGTAAAGAATCTGCCTATAATGTTGGAGACCCAGGTTCGAGCCCTGGGTTGGGAAGATCCCCTGGAGAAGGGAATGGCTACCCACTCCAGTATGCTTGCCTGGGAAATCCCATGGACAGAGGAGCCTGGGCAGAGGGCTACAGTCCATGAGTCACAAGAATCTCACCTGACTTAGCAACTAAAGCACCACCACCACCACCAATTTAGTTGATTAGCAGGGTATAGTCCTGGTCCCCACATTGGCACATGGCAGGGGAAGCCATTCTTCATCTAGGCCAGACACTGGCCCACAGAGATGGGCCTGTAGGATGACGAACATGACAAAATTAGCAGAATCCAGGGCAAGTGGTTCTAGGATGCTGCTGGCCCCCAGGAAGGAGTATCCCACAAATGCAGCTGCTCTTGGAAATGCAGCATCTTTGCTCCAGGTTACACAAGCCCCACTGTGAACTGTAAAGGAGTCAGACCATCTCCAAGACACACCTGCCTTGATGGAGCATTGGATCTCAGAGTTCCAGGGTGTCCATTGGCACCTCTAAGTCAATGCACAGAGTTTACAGAGGCCCAGAAATCAGAGTTGGGCAGGGAGACTTGGGAATATGACTCTAACACTAATTATGTTTTCTGCCTCCTTCACTGACCACATCCGGCTTCATCTCTCAATTGTAGAACGTCACTCGTTTGCTAGTACTGTGCTAGTATAGTGTGGTTTGCTTCCAAATGCAGACTCCCCCAGGTCTAGGTATTCTAGTCCCATAACTGTTCTGTTTGTATCTGGAAGGCTGTGGTTCTTTGCAGCGCGTGCGTGGTGGTGCTAAAACACAGGTCCACTCCCTTTTGGTTCGCTTTTTGACTCACAGACTCAGATTGACCGCGGAACAAGCCACGCCAGTTGTACCAGTGAAACAAACACCTTGACCAGCCTTTTCTTCCCTATTCAGGGCACACACATGCTTCAATCGCCTGGATCTCCCGCCTTATCCCTCGTACTCCATGTTGTATGAGAAGCTGTTAACGGCAGTAGAAGAAACCAGCACCTTTGGACTTGAATGAGAAACTGGCAACTTCCCTGACATTTTCCTGGCCAGTGACATCATCCTTTCCCTTTCCCCGAATCAAGTCTCCTTTGATTTTGGTATTCTGTGATTTTCCTTTTCAAACCAAATCAGGATTGATGAGCTGTGCATGAAGAATTGCCTTCTTCTAAGATCTAACCTTCAGGCTTATCTCCTCTACGTTCAATGAACTGCTAGCCTGTATGCAATATTTAAAAAAACAGCTGTCTCAAGGTCTGTGTATATCTCCACATACCTCCATTACTAACAATGAAATATGAATGCAAGTTATGCTACACTTGACCAAATGGTAATAAATGTTTACTTCCATTTCTATGATTTAAGGGGAAATTTGAGCATTAAGCATTCCAAGCTTTTCTACACCCATGTCTTCTGAGCAGAACCACCATTTTTTTTTTTATAATTTCTAACAACCAACTTCAGAATAGGAGCTGATCAACTCTTTCTTTTCTTCCCATTCTACTTTTCCCTGGGCATCCAATCCATCCAAAAACAGCAGTGGCTAAACTGAAATTTTTATATATTCAACTCATGATTTGTATGTGTCATCAGTCCCATCAGCTGGAACTAGCCTAGACATATGGTGCAAATATCACACTTTCCAACCAATAATAACAGCAAGAAAAACACCTCCTGCTGATGCAATGCAGGGCATCCCAATGGTTGTGGGGATTATGGTTCGACTTGAGTTCAGAGAAGTCTTGGGGTGGGGACACACCCCCTGTGAACACCCACCACCCAAGAAGCACAAACTTGTGCACACATCCAAGAAGGAGATCGCATTATGTAGCATAAACAACGAGGCTTCTACCCCCATGATGTTGTATAGAAGTGTTGAAGCAAACAGGAGAAAGGGGGAAAGGACATCAGGACGATTTAGAAGGACATATTCAGTTGCTCTGAATACCTGGGTTCTGTACAGTTTTATTTTGTTTTGTTTGATCGCAGGTCTCTTTCCCAAAGGAAAAAAAAATGTCCTGATAATCTCATGACTTCTGTTCAAGCCAAGTAATTGCTTGTTTGGCAAACAGACTTTTGTTTCAACTTTGATAGCGTTTTTATTTTTCATGTTTACTTTTCAGTTTTTCTTCACCATGGTGTTCAAATTCCTTCACATATGATTGTCCACAGGGACCACACTAAATCAGAAGCTGCAGAGTGATGGTGCTTGTTAGGGATCAAGGGCAAAATAATACATCTCCTTCCTCCATAGCAATCCTGCTGGAGCAGAGACCTAACCCCCCAAAGGCACACCGATTTGTGTCAAATAGGGATCCAGTTTCTTTTAGCATTCAGTAAAGAGATGTCTCAGTAAACATGGTGTTTCAGAGTAACAGTTGCAGGCTCCAGAAACAGCCTGACCTCTTGATTACTTTTGGAAGAAACCCAAACATGATGGTCATTTGCTATTTTTCTAATGTTGTTATCCATGTCGTCTGAAATATGTTGTAAAAGAAAGTGTTTTTCTTCACTGGGAAAAGAAATGTTGAAATGTTACATTGTTGTCCTTCAATATATATTAAACAAGGGGAAAATGTGAGAAACATGGGCAAGTTAATTTCATTTGGAACCATGTCTTGTGTTCATGTGGGTTTGTGTCCAGACAATGCATCAATTGTGTTCCCTGCCCTCTTTAAGGAAACATTCCTTTAATAGGAATTAGAATGCCCAGCACCCCTTGCTGCTGTGTACCTGTGGTCCATCAAGGAATATGTATGTTGCAGAAATCTGGCCTTCTGTTGTTGTCTACAAAGAATATTTACTGACATTGGATGATGGAATGTGTAAGTTCCATAATGCAGAATCTAAGGGATCTGTATAATTCAGGACACATCTCAGCATCTGGAAAGTCATGGATTCCAGTGGCGCTATTATTTATGAAATCAGGACATAAGGATGATGCAAATCATTTCACCATCCTATATAGAATAGTATCTTTAGTAAAGGGAGCATCTTTCATTTTTAGGACTTGGTGTTAGATATATGTAAATACTTGTTAATTCAAGCATTCAGTTCTTTTTTTTAGGACTCATATGTTAGGCTTTGGCAAGAGAGAAAGCTGTTCCAAAATGGAACCTGTTCCCAGGAATCTTCACAATTTACACGAATATCTAATTAAGCTGTTAATAGATTAACTGATGTCTATTCTCCCCAGTACAGAAGGAACAAGGTATCCTAGAAGATATATATAGATAGAAAACTTAGACATGAATGGTTTTCAACTAACTTCTCCTTATTCCTACTGCCCTGCCCAGTGCCATGGTTCAGATACATCCCAGAAGCATTCCTGGAACAGTATTTCATAAGAGTATGAAATTTCAGAAAGAAATACTGGTGTCAGAGTCCCTGAAAGACTGTGAAGTGTGCTTAGTAGGGTCCCAGTTTCCCTTACAGCCTTGCACAGACTCCCTGAGGAAGGAAGACAAAGACGACAGACAGCTGTTATGGGAAGATCTTTATTTCTCTTTGTTCCAGATTATGTTTCTTTACTTAATGCATGTATAACATTATATATATATATATATATATATATATGTAATTACATGTATAACAAAACAGCTATATGACTCAATTATGCTCTTAATTTTACCATATGGAGGTGCAAACCACCTCAAATCATATAATTCATAATGAGCAAGATAGAGCTCACCCATTTGTTACCATGTATAATTTATTTTTAAAGTATTTGTTTTCTCCATGGAGGCACATTATAAAATTGATCACTTTTGAACCACGCTTTCCCTAAAACAAGATCTTTTAGAGCTAGTTTTAGTAAGAGTATATTACCTTTAATTGGGGGACAAAAAAAAGTAAATAAGAGAACACTTATGTGTCAATTTGAAAAATGCTTCAAAAATACTATGAAGTATTATAATAATTTTGTGTATATTCCATTTTATTCTATTATATGAAAATGATAATCTAAAAATAGAAATGGACTCTGCAGAGTGAAGAGAAGTACTATAAAGCTACTGATTTCTTTGTAATTCCTGTGTCTATAAGTTGACCGTGGTTGTGAAAGTTTTTTACTACCATCACAATTGTCATTCAAAGAGAAAATTAAGACAAAGGGGTATACAATTTGTTGGCAGGCTTTAAATATACAGAATCTCGATCGTTTTCTCTTCTAACACATGATCATATGTCATTTAACAGTAAGTGCATTTGTATGACCAGCCCACAAGCTGGACCTTCCAGAACAGTTCTGATGTTAGATCTGTGGCACCATTAGTCCATGTGTCAAATCACGTGTCCCAAATTTGGGTTCAGAAAATTTCTCAGTTGCCACAAATGTTTTCCCAGTCAAGGTAAAACACTTTCAAATGAAAGTAGTTAGAACTTTACATAACAAATGTGGTGCTTTATTATTATTATTACTATTATGTACTTCAGTGTTCATTCTTAAAACTACTGCAATACTATATCATCAAAGTCTGGGATGGATGTTCCAACCATCATAAGGTCCAAAAGAGAACGTGTTATTTTCCTGTTAGTGACATGTAGTCCCTTTGTTCTAGTAGAAAAAAAAAAAAAGGTGCCTAGAGGTAGTATTTAGAGTAAATATTGTTCCATTAGCCTACTTCCTGCAGCTTCCAATTTACCTAAAGAAATGTCTATAATGATTTTGTTCAAGTCTTTGTTCTAGACAATAGCAGGAGAAGTCCTTGTTCTTGGGCTGATTTTGCTTCCATCGACAAGAGAAATGTCACGTAATACTCAGGCCGAGCTTTCTCTTCCATCCTACCACCTTCAAGGAATGTCAATAAACACTTTGGTATGGCATTGTGTGTGCTCCTTATTGCAAACAGAAGGCTAGGGTCAAGCACAGAAATTTGTATCATGCCTCTGCTCTCGTTGAGTATAGGCAATAAAACAACACAGAAAACTACCAGCTGCTATGGTAAGTACTCCCCTGGGAAAATTATTTATCAAACAAGCATAATAACATGCTCACAAGCGCAGGTTTTGTAACAAATTCCTGGTGTATGCCATTTAGAATGGCACACAGAGTGAAATTAAGGAGTGACCTTTCTGTTCAACCAGGCATCCACTGGCTTGTTGATTCCCTACCTGTTGAGATGCTTCTACCAAAGCTTCAGGCCACAGCCTGACACCTGGTGTGACCCCAGGACAAAGTTTAGCTGTAGACAAAAATGTTGTGTCCAGTGGCATATACCATGACTCCCAATACCACAGTGATGTTCTCTTTTTATCTCCTTCCAAATTTCTAAAAGAAAACCATGTGACTCTCACTGGGTGGTCAGAAGTTGATTTATTCTTTGAGGAAAATATGTTTTATTCTTAGAAAAAATTATGGGTAGAATTAAGAAAAGGAAAAACCTGAGAGATCTCGTATTGTTTTTATACCCATGCTGGGTTTATGTTAGACTCATTCAAACTGAAAATAACTTTTCTCTTAAGAAAAAAAATTAGCCTAGACCATCACTGACAAAGAGGGGTAGATGATATTATTTTGTGTTTCAATCTTACCATTATTCTGAAATCAAGATTAAATTTCAGCTCTCCTGATTTCTGTGACCATACCTTTCCAGTACACTGTGCTGATAATTCATTATAATATACTGTAAAAACAAAAAAAACAAAAAACCTGGACACAAAAAGCTTATACTCAAGATGTGGTTTAAATATAGAGGACTCTTCTCTAACAGAATAAATGGAGTTACAGGAAGTTAGGATCACCTTTATCAGTGCGGTAGGAATCACGTTTATAGCTGGGGACAGACACTTAGATACTTTCGTCTGTCTAATTTATCTTGGAAACAAGGAATAGAGACCAGGAGAGGTGATCTGCTCAAGCCACTAAGCTTTATCTTGGGAACAGAAGTTATGCCCTGTCACAAAATATCCCTTGGGGTCCTGGGCTTCTGAAGCTAGCATAACTCTTCAGAAATTTGCCAGGAAAATAGAAGAAACAGAACCAAAATCTACCATAGTGGATGTCAGGAATCCACAACC